AAATGTGCACCAATCAGCTTTAAGATTTTGCCTTCGTTTTAGATGCCAGTAAAACCATACACTAACGTTCCTGGTATGATAAACTTTTCATGGACGGCTAACTGTACACAAAATATATTAAAAGTCCTATCGGCCTTTTTCCCTTGGCAGCACTCATATAATATTAGTTGGAAACACTGATCGATATTGGAATTTATAACTTTGAACTTATATTATCGCTAGCAATCTGTTACTATTGATACATTAATACCAGTGGCTCAAAATGGCATTTTGACCATCTCTACACACTACTATTTAATAAAAGATCGTCTTCATCAAATTTAAATTCAGTAGAATTATATTTAATGCTTATTGACCTTAATAAATCAATTTCAATATGATCAGAAGTAATAATAGGTAGAGCTTTCTTAATACGTCGACGTCGAACTTTTCTGTCAGCAGAATTAAATTGACTCTCGTTCCTAGAACGATTGCTCCACGCAGTAATTATACTTAATAATTCAGTGCTAGATGGTCTTTTCAATGGGTCAGCATCCCAACATCATCGACATAACATTTCGGAGTGCCGGCGCCAATAATGGGACGCAAACCATCGCATATTTCAAATGCCAAAATTGAATCATATGGTCTATCATAGAATGGCGGGTTTTCGGTTGTTAGCTCAGACATTATCACACCAAAGCTATAAATGTCAACCGCCGGAGTATACAATCTTTTTGTTAAAACTTCTGGAGCTATGTATGGTATCACACCAAAAACTTTACTAACATCAGAACCAATAGGAATAGAGAATTCAAAATCCGAAATACACGCACTTAATACTGATGCACTCAATTCATCCTGGTCGATCAGGATGTTTCCTGAATGTAAATCTCGGTGAATATAACCAGCTTTCAAATGAATTTGATTCAGGCCCAGAATAATCCCTTCCAGTATTTTTAATTTTTGCCACCATCCGATAAAAGCCCTTTGATTAATAAAATTATGTAAATTGCCATAACTTGTATTCTTTAAAACTAATCCATAATTATAAGTTGGAGCAAATGTAACCCCATAGCACCGAATAACTTTATCGCAACATAAATGTAATTTAACCTAAGTTTACAAAATATTTAGTATTTTAAAAAATCAATTTAATAAAATTAAATTAAAATTACTTCTTTCAGCAATGTAGAAATATCTGACTCATAAACTTTCAGGAACCTTCCAACCACTTTAGTATTGGAGGCACCTTCCCATCGACTCGATTCTTCATCCCATACTTCACGTGGTCCGTCACGCCATATTGCTGAAATAACCGTGGAAAACTCTCCTTCCTTAATTATTTTAAAATCTTTAAATTGATCGAGTTTTATCCACTCAATGTAATTAGACACGTTGGTCGCATTAAGTTGTGATTCTTTTATTAATTCATCAAGCTGTTGATCACCACTTGACCACATGTAGAAGTCTTCACAAAAGTTTCTAGCTTCACATTTACTGCACCATTCGACATCAGTGAACTTGTGTCCATACTTGCATGTACCATAGTCAGGGGGCATTTCGTTGTTCGGCTTCCAAGGGACAGCAAGATTTTCATCAAAAATTAATGTCGGATTATGCCCTGTGCCTGTAATATGTAAATGCATTAATTATAGAATAAATTATAGAAATTTAATTCGAGAATTTCTTACTTATAGATGAAAGAAGAGCGTTTAAATTTCTACTGTTTTCTGGTAATTGTGATGGTGGGTTATATACCGGCTTTAAGCGCATCGTACTTAGACGAACAACAATCTCGCTAATGCTTGGTCGCAAATCTGGTTCTGTCTCCCAACATCTTTTATATAGCTCTATATATTTGACAGGAGTATTGGAAATTGGTGCTTCCCGAGCACCTTGCAAAATACATGTGTAAGCTGCAGTTTGATCGCGAATACCATCGAATGGCGAACGACAGCTAGATATCTCCCACAATAGTACACCAATGCTGTAAACATCTGACCGTTTGTCTTTCTTATATCCATAATTGGCAATAGCTATCGGTTCTATGTACGGCAATATACCGAGAAGAGGTGCTTGGGTGGTAAGCGTGCTATTAAGATTTTTTGATAAACCAAAATCTGCAATTTTAATTTGCCTCTGATGAATCAAAATATTTTTGTCGTGCTAAAAACATTAAATATGAACAAATTTTAGGGCACGCCATGATTTAATGAATGTCGCAGCTGATGCTGAAAACGGCTGATGCTGAAATTTGGGGTCTCTATTTAAATCTATAATACCTACTAAAAT